GGATGCTTGCCACTCATTTAAATTCATGGTTGCCCATTCTGTAGTCCTCGAAGTTCTTCCTTGACACATTTTCTCCTCTCCTTATGTTTCACATCTTCACAAAAATAGGAAGAACAGCAGCAAAGGGCCGATGACCCACATGCTGTTTGATGGGGAAGAGACTAGGACTAGCAGGGTTTCCCATGCTTACTGGTGAGCATGTTTCTTTGGTGTCATGATCTGAAGTAAGCAGATGGTGAAAGGAGTATAGTATTTTTTTGGCCTTATACTCTTCAATCACACAGCTGAAGTCCATCCCATTTTTTATTTATCAAACTTCGGGAACAGACAACAAATGAGATTATAAGTATCTCCTTTCAGAGATGGATGCTCCCTGCAGACCTCTGGGACTCTGTAGTGCTCTTGGCAATTAACAGCTTCATTCTAAATTTGTAAACTCACTCTGGTTTATTTTAAAAATGGAAATGAATGAGGAAGCCAAATCTTAGAAATGAGGAAAGATGGCTGATTTCCATTTCAATATGTAAGACAATTACGTGAGTTAGGGAAAGATTTAAAAGTTAAATATGAAACCAAGGAACCTGGTCAAAAATTGTGCAGTAAATTGTTTAATAAATGAAATACCCCTGGAAATATCGATAGCCTTCACCTTGTTGATGAATGCACATTGGTGTATCAGGACCTCTCACTCAGATTCTCTATCATGGGCGAGAGTGTCCAGATCAGTAATTCCAGAGAATTCTCCTCTTCTGCTACATCAGTCTTCTGCATGCACGTAATCATTTCAATCTGCTGTCAGGTGCCCTCCACACCATGTGCATAATTGGCTACATGCACTACAACAAAAAGATCCACTTTGACATCTGCCACTTCAAAAAACAAGTGCAAGTAAAGAAACAAGAATATTATAATAGACAAATGTAGTTATTTTGACAAGTGTGATTTGTTTTTAATTATTAATATTTCACAGTATACTAGTAACTGTCTTGTAGAATATTTTGTAAAAGCAGTGACATCTGATAATGTGTCATTACCACATTAGCATACCTCTATGCAATTAAGGCTTTAGTCAGAAGAAGGGTTGGCTTTCATTTCTAGTGTGAATTACCATGAAGCTGGAGAAAAATGTGAATATTAGAATTAATAATAGTATTGCATTTATGTTACACTGTTCATCGGCAGCTTGAAAACGTTTTATTGTTTCTGCCAGTGTCAAACACTGAAACCTTAATACAAGAATCTCCAATACTTGATGTAAAATTATTTCAACTGAGAACACATGGACACATAGAGGGACTAACACACACTGAGGACTTTTGGAGGGGGAAAGGTGGGAGGAGGGAGTGGATCAGGAGAAAGAACTAATGGGTACTAGTCTTAATACGTGGGTGATGAAATAATCTGTACAACAAATCCCCATGAACCGAGCTTACCTATGTAACAAACCTGCGCTTGTACCCTTGAAGTTAAAATAAAAGTTAATCAAAAAAGAAAATGAGGGGGCCAGGTGCGGTGGCTCAAACTTGTAATCCTAGCACTTTGGGAGGCCGAGGAGGTGGGTGGATCACCTCAAGTCAGGAGTTCAAGACCAGACTGGCCACATGGCAGAAACCCTGTCTCTACTGAAAAAAAAAAAAAAAAAATTACAAAAATTAGCCAGGTGTGGTGGCACATGCCTGTAATCCTGGCTACTCGGGAGGCTGAGGCAGGAGAACCACTTGAACCCCGGGGCCAGAGGTTGCAGTGAGCCAAGATCGTGCCACTTTACTCCAGCCTGGGTGAAAGAGCGAAAGTCCGTCTCAAAAAAAAAAAAAAAGAGAGAGAAAGAAAAAGGCTTATCATCTGATTTAAAAAAATTCTATGATTATGACAGTAATCCATTTATCTGAGTTTTTTACATGTAAAATTCCTTTTTTTTTTTTAAAAGAAATTTGCTTTTTAGTCTTTTGAAAATTTGTAACGTCACATTTTTAGTTCTAACAGATTAAACTTCAAGAACAAATGTAAGCTTAGAAGGACTAGAGGAGTTCTTTGTTTTTGAAATGGTTAGAGAAATCTCAAGGACCACTGGCAATTTCTCAGCAGTATTGTCTCATTCCATCTTCACTCAACAATAAAACCTTCCGCATTCAGCCTGTATCATCTCTATTTAAATTTTCTGGTGCTGGATTTCCTTGACAAACTTGAAACAGTGAGAAGACAGATAAGGAAGGAAAGATTCTGCCCCTCCCCCATTTCTACTACCCTTTCAGAGACTAAAAAATCTGATTTTGCTTTAATTTGTACTCAGCAGTGTCAGCTCTGTCAGAGGAAAGGGCATCCCTGCTGACAGTAATCATTATAACTCCAGGAGACTAGCAGAGATAAATATACTATAAGCCATCTTCTGAGTGGGTCAAACTTGTCCTGATACTTTTAAGGTCCGGGTACTTTGCAGAGACATTTCTTCCATCAGACTAGTTACTCAGCGATGCCCAAAGCTGTGTTTCTGATCCTGTCATGGAACAATGTTAATATGTTATACACCAAAGTATGCCCGTAGTGTTGATTGAAGGACTCTTTTTTAAGTGGAAAATCATGCTAATATTCAGCAAATAACAATCTCCATATAATGAAAATAAATAAAAACACAAATCTGGAAACACTGAACACCATATGTAACTTTAACTTGGATTTCTTTCTAATCTCTTGAGATTAAATTGGATATTTGCAGAATTCATTGAAAATTGAGTATATATTTATAATGTTTATCAAATTCAGAAGCATAAAGTATCTAGGTTTTTGGAGGTTTTTTTGCAACTAGAAAAAAAAAATTCTAAATCCTACAAATGGTAAAACAGCACCAAGCAAGCATTTGCTGGTGAAATTATATTGTGCTGCTTTTTGCTGCTGCTTTGAATACTGTTGTTATTTTTTTTTTTCTTCTGTTCTCTGTGTTTGGCCTGCTGTAACCTTTATAAAATTTACCTAGGTAGCAATTTCTTTAGCATGTCCCAAGATTGTAGAGAAACAAGTGGGGAATCACTCAACCTTGTTTAACTAGAATGGGCATTTGCTCTGTTACAGTGGAACATGTTCCTGATAATGAAGATTTTTCCCTTGAAATAATGTTTTCATTGTATTTTTTTACTGTATTGCCATTGCCTTTATTGTATTTAGACTTAAAATTTAAGCAACTGATTCTACAAACATAATTTAATGTAGTTCATATAATTCTACAGGGTGCTTCTTTTTTCATTTTGTATAGACAGGTGACTTTCCTTTTCATATAAATTGGTCAAATGAATCCTATGAGGTATCCTGTCAATGAATGATTTGAAAGTATTGCAATAATATGGGGAAAACAGGGAGAAATATCTAATGAAAACTTGTTATATCTACATGGTATGATGGTAGATGAGTTTTATTTCTTTCATTGAATATTTTCTGTACCTTGTAAAAATTGAGATTGTGAATTAAGTATTATTATAATCAGAAGAGAAAAAGAACTGTGTTTTAGAAAGAAGGGACAGGAGATGAGTGAAGACCAGGCTGCCCACAGGTGCTTATGGAATTCCTACTGTGCACATTTCACTAATCAACTCCATGGTCAAGATTTATGCCTAATGTAATGAGAGGGTGACTTCCCACTGCTTTAGGAAACTGCCCCTTCAGCCAGCCACAAAACCATTTCCACAACTGGAGCCCCTGAAACATCAACAGACATAATTTCTGCCAAGATAATCCTTAATGTGATACCATCTTTCAATGAAGGAGATGTCTCTGGAGTGACAGCCTTTGCTAAATTGAGTAAGATAGTTGTTAGGTCTTTTTTTTTTTTTTTTTTTTAGTTGTTAGGTCTTTTTTTTTTTTTTTTTCTGTGAAAGTCTTAGAAATTAATTCAACAGTGTTTTTAACCTTCTCTGTGTTTTTTTCTCCTAGGCTGCCTATGTAAGCAAATACTATGAAAAAGTTTTTTTTCCCCGTTTGAGAAGTTTCTTATTGCTCTCAATGAGTGTGTGTGTGTGTGTGTGTGTGTGTGTGTGTGTGTGTGTGTGTTTTGAGATAGGTTCTCACTGTGTCACCCCAGTTGGAGTGCAGTTGTGCAGTCTTGGCTCACTGCAACCTCTGCCTCCCGGGTTCAAGTGATTCTCCCACCTTGGCCTCCCAAGTAGCTGGGACTACAGGCGCCCGCCACCACGCCTGGTTAATTTTTGTATTTTTAGTAGAGAAGGGGTTTCACTATGTTGGCCAGGCTGGTCTCGAACTCCTGACCTCGTGATCCGCCCACCTCAGCCTCCCAAAGTGCTGGGATTACGAGCCATCATGCCTGTCCATTTTTTTAAATTTTTACTTTTATTATGAAGTGATTTGGTAAATTTGTCTTACTCTGACTTAAAAGATGTGTATAGGATATATTTGTACCAGTTTATTGCAATGTGTATTTTGAGAAGAGGGCCTTAAATAAGAATATTTTCCAGACATTCCCCAAATGACTTCATTCACATGCTGTGCATGGGAACAGTGTGCATCCTGCAACCTGTTTCTGCTTTTGTGCTGGCTGTTAAAGCTTCAGGCCCTTCCTCCTCAGCTTCCTGTCAGAGAGCTTGCTTTCCCTCTCTAGTTTCTTAAACTGCTTTAGAAAGCAGAAGAGAACTGAAAGAGTCTCCCCTGGTGGCCTCAGCAAGCCACACTCTTCCTCTGTATCTAAAGGGAGATCTCCTTTCTTTTTGTGATCAGATTTAAAATGAGGTGATTTGGGAATAACAAAGCTTTTGTATTTGATTCAAAATGCCAAATTTTGTAAATACAGAGATATACAGGGAATTCGTCATATTATGTAGCCCCCAGAGACAAGGAGTAAAAATCCATAGCATCCTCAAATAAGAGTGGGACATTTACTGGGATGCTCTTGATAAGTTTTGTCCCAGCTTGCTTTTTCAGGTTTATTCCCGTAAATTACATCTGCCACCCTTTCCCCTGGCCCTTTCCCAATCCATCAAGCTTTCTCACCAACTTACCGGCAATGCTCGCCCTGAAGTCTTTTGTCATATGCATCTTTCTTGCAATAACCCTTTCCCCCATTTTTTCGAGGCCTGGATGATGCGTCACCTCCCTCATGAAGCCTTCTAGAGCCCTTCTGGTTGGAAATTGCCCTGCTCTTCATGCGCTACGCTGTCCTTAAATTCCTTATTAAATTCAGCCTGGTATGAAAGTGGTTGCTTACGTATCCAGGTCCTCACTGTTACATTGTTAGGTTTTACAGAGATAAGCATAAGGCCTGTGTGTTATCTCTTGTCTTCCCACAGTTTATTGTATGGAATTTTGCATGTATTAGGCATTAGGTAAGGTGTTATTGTTGTTGTTTAATTTGAATCCTCAGCATCTTTTTTTAATAGTGAGGTGTTGATTAGAAAAAGACATTAAAAAGTAATTTGCAGGAATTGGTAATAATCACATCTAACAACCTGTGTAGCTATTTGCAGTTTTACAAAAAGGCGTTGGCATATAATAAGGAAGACTTAATGGCAAAGCCTGGTCTGGAACAGCTTTGCGACAAAATCTAAAAGGGGCCAAGAAAAAGCCAAGGGCAGAACAGATTCCCCTTGTCCTGTTTGCATTTTCTGTGTGCAAGGAAGGCTATTAGGTTCTCTGCATTCACCAACTTAAATTCCTGCACCAACTTAAATTCCTGATTATTTTTATTACGATAATAAAATGGTTGCTTTCAAGGATGTTGATGTTTTCCATCACACTGAGGTAGATGACTAGCAACGTCCTGCAGAATACAGCTAGGCTTTCCGCATATCTTCTAGAATTACTCAAAGTTTCCTTAATTTCTTCTTCCGTCTCCTTTTCCCATTCTCTTTCTTCACAACCAGTTTAAATATCAGAGCAAATAAGAGAAGTAAAAGATAATGAAATAATGTGAAACTGAAAATTGAACATATAATTTCAGATTTCGTACTGCTTATTATTTCTCTTTCCTATAAAAAGTCCAGGTGATAAAATTAACATTCCAAGTTAAACATGAAATGATAAAAATATACTTGCCACAGGCTTTTGTTTTTTGGTAGGTTGGTTTAAAATATTTTAAAAATTGCATTATGAAAATTATGTCCAACTAAAAATGGGATACAAGAATTTCTGCCCCAAGCAAAAATCTCAAATTCATACTAGAATGTATAAAATAAAATGTGAATTTCTGCTTTTATTCTTCTGCCCAATCTCATTTTCCTTTTCAGAAGGAAACTTTGTTAAACATTCTATGTATATTTTGGCAGACCTTCTCCTGTGCATCTATATACATATGCACATACATATGTAGACCAGAAATAGCTTGTATCATACTAGACATTTATCTACAATATGCTTTTTTCATTTTCAAAATTACTTTGGAGATCTTTCCACATCAATACATAAGACTCTACCACATTGATTTTATGGCTACATAGTTTATTATTTATCCCATAATGATTGACAAGCAATTTTCAGGGTTTTTTTTGTAAGTAAATTTTAATGTACATACGCAGGTGTAGCTTGGAGATATTGTGGGTTTGGTTACAGACCACCATAATAAAGTAACCATGGCAATAAGGCAAGTCACATGACTTTTTGGTTTCCTAGTGCATGTAAAAGTTATGTTTGGCTGGGCACGGTGGCTCACACCTGTAATCTCAACACTTTGGGAGGCTGAGGCAGGCAGATCACTTGAGGTCAGGAGTTCAAGACCAGCCTGGCCAACATGGCAAAAACCTGTCTCTACTACAAATACAAAAATTAGATGGGCGTGGTGGCACAGGCCTGTAATCCCAGCTACTTGGGAGGCTGAGGCAGGAGAACAGCTTGAACTTGGGAGGTGGAGGTTGCAGTGAGCTGAGATTGCCTGGGAGATGGAGCAAGACTCTGTCTCAAAAAAAAAAAAAACAAAGTTATGTTTATACTGGACTGTAGTCTAGTAAGTGTGCAATAGCATTTTGTCTAAAAAACAATGTACATAACTTAATTAAAAATACTTTTTTGTCAAAAAATGCTAACAATCATCTGAGCCTTCGGTGAGTTATAATCTTTTTGCTGGAAGAGGGTCTTGCCTGATCTTGATGGCTGCTGACTGATCAAGGTGGTGGTTGCTGAACGTTGGGCTGGCTGTGGCAATTTATTAAAATAAGACAACAATGAAATTTGCCACGTCAACGGACTCTGCCTTTCGTGAGAGACTTCTCTGTAGCATGTGATGCTATGTGATAGTATTTTACTCACAGTAGGACTTATTTCAGAATTGGAACCAATCTTGTAAACCATGCCACTATTTATCAACTAAGTTTATGGAATATTCTAAATCCTTTGTTGTCATTTCAACAGTGTTCACACCGTCTTCACCAAGAGTAGATTCCATCCTAAAAGACCGCTTCCTTGACTCATTCATAAGAAGCAACTCCTTATCCATTCAAATGTAATAATGAGCTTGTAGCCATTCAGTTACACCTTCAAGCTCCACTTCTTTTTTTTTTTTTGGGGGACAGAGTTTCATGCTGTCACTCAGGCTGGAGTGCAGTGGCATGGTCTCGGCTCACTGCAGCCTGTGCTTCCCAGGTTAAAGCGACACTCCTGCCTCAGCGTCTGGGGTAGCTGGGACTGCAGGTGTGTGCCACCACACCCAGCGACTAATTTTTGTATTTTTAGTAGAGATGGGGTGTCACCATGTTGGCCACGCTTGTCTCGAACACCAAACCTCGGGTGATCCCCTCGCCTCAGCGTCCCAAAGTGCCGGGATTACAGGCATGAGCCACCACACCCGGCCTAGCTCCACTTCTAATTCTAGTTATCTTGCTGTTTCCACCACATCTGCAATTACTTTCTCCACTGAAGTCTTGAACCCCTCAAAGTCATTTATGAGAATTGGAATCCATTTCTTCCAAACTCTTGTTTATGTTGATATTTTGACCTTCTTCCATGAATCATGGATCTTAATGACATCTAGAATGGTGAATTCCTTCCCAAAGGTTTCAGTTTACTTTGCCCAGATCCATCAGAGGAATCACCATCTTTGGAAGCTACCACCTTACGAAATGTGTTTCTTAAATAAGACTTGAAAGTCAAAATTACTCCTTGAGCCATGGGCTGCAGGAAGGATGCTGTTACCAAGCATGAAAACAGCATTCATCTGTTTGCACATCTCCATCAGAGCTCTTGGATAACCAGGTGCATTGTCAATGAGTGGTAATATTTTGAAAGGATTTTTTCTTTTTTCTGAGAAGTAGATCTCAACAATGGGCTTAAAATATTCAATAAGCCATGTTGTAAAGAGATGTGTTGTTATGCAGACTTTGTTTTTCCAGTTATATAACACAAACAGTACATTTAGTATAACTCGTAAGGGCCCTAAGATTTCCAGAATGATTGAATGAGCATTAGCTTCAACTTCAAGTCAGCAGCATTAGCCCCTAACAAGAGAGTCAGCCTTCCTGTTGAAGCTTTGAACTCAAGCATTGACTTCTCCTTTAAAGCTATGAAAATCCTAGATAGCAACTTCTTTCAATAGAAGGCTGCTTCATCTACATTGAAACTCTGTTGTTTCGTTTAGCTGCCTTCACCCATGATCTTCAATCTTCTGAATAACTTGCTACAGCTTTTCTGTCAGCACTTCCTGCTTCACCTTGCACTTTTATGTGTTGGTGATGGCTTCTTTTCTTAAACTTCATGAACCAATATTTCCTAGCATTAGACTTTTCTTCTGCAGCTTCCTTACCTCTGTCAACCTTCTTAGAATTGAAGAGAGTTAGAGCCCTGCTTCAAATTAGGCTTTGAGTTAAGGGAATGTTGCGGCTGTTAGGATCTTTTATCTAGACTATTAACAGTTTCTCCGTATCAGCAATAAGGCTGTTTGGCTTTTCTACCGTCCATGTGTTCACTGTAATAGTACTTTACATTTCCTTTAAAAACTTTGCCTTTGCCTTTGCATCATTCCTGTTTGGCATCAGAGGCCTAGCTTTTGGCCCATCCTGGCTTTTGACATGACTGCCTCCCTAAGCATAGTAATTTCTAGCTTTTGACTCGAAGTGAGAGAAATGCAGTTTTTCCTTTCACTTGAACGCTTCGAGATCATTGTAAGCTTATTAGTTGGCCCAATTTCAATGTTGTTGGGTCTCAGTGAACTAGGCTCAAGAAGGGCAAGAGGGACAGAAGAATGGCAGTCAGAACACACTTTCATTGATTGAGTTCATCATCACGTGGGAGCAGTTTGTGGCACCCTGAAACAACTACAAGGGTAACATCAAAGGTCTCTGATCACAGATCACCATAGCAGATAGAATGAAAAGTTTGAAACATTGCCAAAATAAGACACAGAGACACAAAGTGAGTACATGCTGTTGGAAAACTGGCGCCATAAGACTTACTTGATGCAGGCTTGCCACTGACTTTCCATCTGTGAAGAGTGCAGTATCTGAAAACTACAATAAAGCAAAGCACAATAAAATGAAGTATGCTTGTATTTTTGACATACAGATTAGTATATCTGCAGGACAGAGTTTCAGAAGTCGACTTACTGAGTCAAGGTTTAAGCACTTTTAACCCGTAGAGTTTCTACCAAATTGTTCCCAGAATGACTGAAACAAGTTGCTAACACCAATAGCGTAAGAGAACATTGTTTCCTAATGGGTCTTTGGTCATTGGGTGTCATTAATTTTTTGCTTAATATCTTCAAAAAATTGAGCAACAAAGCCACTCATTACTTTTCTCCAATTTTCATTTATCTTCTTGTTCATTATTGCTCTAATGCCACATTTTGAAAATTACTAAAAATTTAAAATATGCTTTATATTTAGTAGGACATGTTTCTTCTCATTTTTCTTTTTCAAGATTTTTTTTCTTTTAGCTCATCTCGCACATTTACCCTTCCAGATGGATTTTAAAATCAACTTGACAAATTCCATAGAAAATTCTCTTGGGGATTTTGTTGCAGTCTGCATTGAATATGTAAATAAATTTTAGGAGCGTTTACATGTTTACAATACTGAGTTTTCCAACCAGGAACATGGTTAACCTCTCTCTTTACAGGTTTTTATTTGTAGCTTTGTATAAAATATCATAGCATGTGTACTTTTGTTATTTGTCTCAATGCTAGTGTTTTCTACTTTTTGCCACTATTGTAAATGGAAAATTTTC